CGCACACGCACACGCACACGCACACGCACACGCACACGCACACGCACACGCACACGCACACACACACACACACACACACACACACACACACACACACACACACACACACATATACATATATATATATATACATATATATATATATATATATATATATATATATTAATGAGGTGCTTGTAATGAGGCACATGCTGCCCCACCCCACTTCCTCCCCTTGGAACGACGGCACCCCCGTTTCACTCGTGTCTTTATGTGAATTCTGCGGTGAATGTGAATGTGAACGTGAGTTATGTGAATCATCTGGTGGACGTTAAGTAAGGCTGCAGCACTAACTGAGTCCAAACCGGCGAGTCTCCGCCGGGCCGGCGCACCCTGTGGTGCCCATCCTGTCGCGATCCGCCTGCGTGTTTCAGCGCAGCACACGCAAGCACGCACGCACGCATGCACGCATGCACACATGCACGCACGCACGCACACACGCACGGATGGACAGACAGTGTTCAACGATCAAAAATGTTGGGTTCGAGCATGACAGACTAGAAGTGATTGATGTCACAAGTTTTGTTCAAATCATAAAAACAACATGGGGTTTACATGGGATTACCAACCTCAGCACGACTGGCCTATTATAGTATGGAAAGAACTTACCCCCCTTCAACGACTGCTAACATAAGGAACGACAGCACTTTCACACGTGAAAAAATAAGTAACAAACCCCTTTTGGAAAGAGGCAATCGTAGCTCACAGCGAGTTTTGAATTTATCAATTCCCAAGAGGAAAGAAATATAACCCAAAAATTTTGGTTCGCGAATGCTTCAACGTTTGCTGACGCCATCGTATAAAACATGGGATGACAAAGGATTGAGTTTGTTGCAGACTTTATAAATAACAGACGGGCAAACATCGTATTTCGAACTTTTTCGAACTTTCGCCATGTACGAAACGTCACCTGGGTGAAGGCGTTCCTAGCATGTTCTCAGCGCATTTGACTTTGAATTACGTTAGCGTTTCATACTGTTTACAAACTTCTCATACACGAAAATTGGAGGCATTATCCAGATGCGTCGTGGCAAAATGGCACATGTTGTGACGCTCCGGTCGAGCTTTATGCGGAAAGCGCTGGTCTGCTTATTCAGCTCTGAAAACACTTAAACAAACTTATTCAGCCGTGACAGTTGCAAGCCCAGATGTGCCCCAGCTGTCGCGGCGCGTCTGCGCGTCTTTATACCACCCGCTCAAAAGCCTGGGCAAACGCGCATACACACGGGCAATGGGTTTGACCCGGACCCGGGTGGTCGGCTGAATGCGACGTGCTTCGGTGATGGAGGGTCAGTGTGACCTCCCTTCGGTGAGGGAGGGTCAGTGTGACCTCCCTTCGGTGAGGGAGGGTCAGTGTGACCTCCCTTCGGTGAGGGAGGGTCAATCTGACCTCCCTGAGATATGGAAACCTAGCGAGCTAGAGACACCTCATTCATGGGACAGTATCACTCTATGTGAATCATTTTCTGTCACATTTTAAGGTCGCTACATGGCGTTCTTCGGGTTAAATGGGGTTAATTAAGGTCAAACTCGACATCGCGTCCAATCTGACCTCACGCCTTAAGCAACTAGCTTTATCCTAGAAACACTTTCTAAGCAAGAGGTCACTCAGGGTGACATCAGGTCAGTGACCGTAACACCTTCGCTGACAACTATGGCCTGACTTTGACCCGCTACAGGTCAGCGATCGTGGGAGAAATATGTAATATTTTATGCTGAACGATCGGCAAATGAATTGTTCACAGCTATGCAAAGCATGGTGTCAGTGCTACATATTTATGTAACTTCCAAACGCACCCCCTGTTCTCTTGCATTTTGTTATTGCTACACACTCTTGCACGCCTGCATTTGATCTGTGTTGTATGCATGCTGTATGAGACAGCACAGTGACGTGCCATGGGTGTAAAGCTGGCGGGGCTATGTTAGTCGACATCTGTTTCATATACTGTTTCAAGTTGATACTGGTGTGCGACTACGATGTGCCCGTGCGGTTTCTCATAGTGCAATGACCCTTATCACCGTATCATCAATGTCCTACGCAACCGTTATCCGTTATCCGTCCACTGTGATCTAACGCCAACTGAGGCATCCTACTGGTGCTACGCATGTCAAGAGACGGTCACTTCTAAAATACCTCCCTTCCCACTTGCTCTAAGTGTTGGTGCCGAAATTTCTCTCAGCGATACCAACACCGCGTGCATCATTATCAATGTTCTGTTAACTGCTTTAAACGAAAAGCATGTTGCTAGGTCCAGTTTCAACGTCCATGTTTTCTGCTCAGTGCATTAACGGCGGTGCGTTTGTTACATCCAGTGGGCTAGATACTTGCTAGAACTTCCGCGCCGCCCGCAACGCCAGGCTGCCGTGGGTGATCAAAATGTTCAGCGTCACAGGGGTGTGGCACCGCAACCGTATGGCACTATCGCTGCTCATGCATTTTAAGGGCGGCATTAACGGATCCACCCGGGGTTCCGTGTTCAAGTGAGCTCACGCTCACTTCATGCTCAGGTCACATGGCCTGCATTCCAACGCGCTAATTTCCGTCGAGCCGACTGTCCAGACTCCACAGCTGAACCAGCCCGGTAGGATTCGAGCAGCAAAAAACTTGACTTATGCGACCGACTGCACTGATTACATAGGTCTGCACCTACTGCACTGCACTGTACAGGTCTGTGCGCGCATATATATATATATATATATATATATATATATATATAATGTTGCAGCGTGAACTTCCGCCGGAAATCCGTGCACTGAACGTTTTCCGCCGACAATCATGTTTAAAACCACGGCTTGAGTAATGACACAATTAGAAGCGGGGAAACTGTCGACGCAACGGATGCAGGAAATGCAGTGCAATGCAAAGCTTAGTATGCAGCACAACTGGGCAGTGCATCACTCGTACGACCAAATTATTAAACATGTGCGTATATCCCGCAAAAGGTCTGAAGTCTGTCTTTCCCCACGCTAATCCACGTCTTGTATTGCCGTAGGTAAGGGGTTTACGTAGCTTACATGGCGGTCTCCACCTTTTATGAAAAACCGGTCCAATTCGGGTCGCGCTGCAAACTCTCTCCAGCCAATGCTTATTCGTCCCCAATGGCACTGCAGAATCTGCTCCTAGTTACTCAAGCCATTCATATACGCTTTCACATACTTGATTCCAATTTAAAACTGGCGACTGACCGCGTTGGTTGTTAGGGAGAGAGCGCAGTGAATAGTGCCACCAAGGAAGCTAAGGCCCAAAATTACACAGGACACCAAACTTGTTTGCGTGTCAGCATTCCGCGAGGGACCACTGGCATGGAACGCAATGTTACTACCCAGACAAACATCCCCCAAATATCACGTGCATTTGCTTAAGGTTTATATCATTCGAACGAATTAACAATATTCACGAGCAATCAGCGACGCTTGCTTGAGCCTGACCCAACACCTGAACCCGCACCTCAGCAAGTCAGAAAGCCATATGAATACGTTCTACCGCATAGCTAGCGTCATTCTTGTTGCGTACGTGGTCGCGGTTATGTAAGCCTCGCCCGTCCCGCGACCGGAAACAAAGTTGTCTCGAAGAATCTTTCTCGGCTCGGCCTGGGGCAAAATTTTCGTCACGAGCGGCCCCGCCTGGTTGTCACGCTTCCATACAGCTAGTATCTTTGTAACAGCATATTGGTGTCAGATGCAGCTTTCAACAAGAAGCGTAATTCTTAAATGTAGTGTTGTGTAAGCTGCACTGCATCCGCAAACAAGCTCTTTAATCAAGCATAACCTTTCCGCGGCATTCCGACATGAACAAATAGGGCCTTTCCCGTGAGCTTAACAAACAAGCAAAAAACTTGGAACTTGCGAAAAATGCCCGACCCGGTTCAAAATCGGGCTCGTGTCTTGACCTGTCATCGCTGTAGCACGAGAAAGTCACCGCTTGCTGGGGCGAAACGGGCATGCGCACCGGCAAACAGGTGACCTGACGTCACGCCATGACCTGCACGTCATAGATCCCGCGTGCGCGCCGGCCTCGAGCGCTCGAGCGCGAACCATGGAGCCGCACGTCTTGCACGCGGTTAAGAATTGATGTCGGACACCGGGAACCAAACGGTTGCCAGCGCACGCTGCACGTGAGGCACCTACAAATGACAACGCGGTGGCAATGATGAATGAAAGAGGCGCAAACGTGCACCGGTGATCAATCGGGCCGACATTGTGATATGTTTCGAAAACAGCCTCGAATAAAACCCGTGGTGCCGTAATCTGAGAGACTGAACAGTGAAAACTACACAGGACTGCAGTCTGCCTCAATGTGGCCAACGTCCACATTAAGCGTCTCCATTTGAAGGGCCTGCATTTGAAGCGTCTGACTTTTGCAGCACTTTGGTTACACTAAAAAAAAACATATCACAAAGTTTTGATCTCCTCTTCCCAACCGTCTTCAGCCAATTTTCAACAGCGTGTTTTACGGAAAGTGCGACCACCGTACGAGTAAATCCCCGCCCGTCACGCCCTCATGAGAGACGTGTTTGTCCAGTCTTCCGCCAGACCAGTTTGTATGAGCTCCACAAAACGCGTTTATATTACTTAAGTTTTTTAATAAACTAGAAACGACTGTTCATAATCACGCCAGCTGTCATCTCACCGGTCCTCCGCTCCGCAAAGCGGCTTATTGATCATCACAAACACCAGTGTTCACAACTCCCTGGCTTTAGAAACACCCGCGCCGTACTGACCACAGCGGGAAGAACTTTCTAGACTTTCCAGCAGGCAACAGACACTAATGTTCCTGAGTTTTAGCGTAAGGTGGAGGGATCTGTGGGCATTGAGCAAAATTAACGGGCTCATAACGACCTTCACTGACTCGGACGAAGTTTCGTCCCTGCTGTCCGTCCCTCTATAGTCCACCACCGTCGCCACCGGCGTCAGACGGGCACCGCCGCCACCGGTGACAACGCACACCTCCATCCGCTCACCTGGCTGGTTGAAGAGCATGATCAGCGCGAAGGGGAAGATGAACATGGCCAGGAACAAGACGATCTGGCGGCGGGAGCGGGCGCCCGCCATGGTGGGGCTGCTCAGCCCTGCCGGCCGCCGCCGCAGGCCCCTGCCGACAGAGCGCGCGCACGCCGGTCACCGCCCGCCACCGCCACCGGCGCCACGGCTGAGCCTGCACTGCGGCTCCCGCCGGCACGCCACCGACGCCACCGCGCCGCGCCGCGCCGCGCCACGCCACGCCGCGCCGGCGCCAGCCGGCCCGGGCGTGCCGGCCTCGGCGGAGGTGCGCTGGCGAGTACGGCACGGGGTCGGCCTACGCACCGCGCTGCTATCAAGTGCTGGGAGAAAAGGCGGCGTCGCAGGCCAAACACGCGTCGAGGGACAGAGGGGCAGGTTGTGGAACGTGGCGTTGCGGTGCCCACGGTACTGTGTGATATGGGGCGACGAGTTTGGGGTATGCAGACTTCCGAAAAACATTAAAGGTGACCATAACTGGGGAGGGCAGCAGGCACCAAACTGACGCTGTAAGAAAATGACTTGCGCAACATCTTCCAGAAGTAAACCCCAATGTGTTAAGTATCATGCGAAGAGATATTGCACTGTGTACAGCACTGCACTCCAACAGCACTGTGTACATCTGAAATCCGTGGGAGACCAATTAAGACCCAGCGGCTGGCTATGCTGAAACAAACCGACCGATCGGCTACGCAAGTCCGCTGTGAGGCGAGCTTAACGGTCCGCCTAATGACCATTGAGCCCGCTAAGTACATGTCTTCGACAAGTGTTAGTGGTAATGGGCGCCGTTATCTGCCAGCTGGATTACACACGACGAAAAAAACATGTAACGCTGCCACGGATTATCTTGTCGGATGCAAGGAAACTTGATAGGGAAGCTGTCGAGCGTCATTTAGTTATATAGTGTAATCATCAAATACGCATGACTGTAAGCACGACGCCATCAGGACAGCAGGCTTGCTTCAACAGCTTTTTTCTTTCTGGATATTCTTTTGATAGTTTCAAAAATAGTTTGCGTCAGAGAAAAACAGCGTACGCAAGACTACTGCACTTTTATCCCAATTTAGGTGTATCCATGTCGAATTTGTGTCCGCCCAATTTTTTTAAATCTCGTTTATGTCTCTGTCAACTATTTCCGCTTTGGCTACTTTTCCTGTCGACTTTTATCCCTTTCAATAACTTGTGTTCGATTTTTTTCCATTCGGCTTTTCTAGTCGAACTTTGCCAGGAAATCGTCGCCTGCAGCTGAGGCGGAGAGGACAAGAAAGCATGGAGAGGGAGGGAACGACAAACGTGCAACAAACGTTGCACCAGCAAAACTTCACTTTGAGAGAGCGAGCAATGACAGTTTACCCAATGCATACAGAGACTATTAAATACAAACCTACGGAGAATACTCAATCCGTGTCTACAGAGAATACTTGATGCGTACCTGCAGAGAATACTAACTTATCATATTCACAACAAAGATTTTCACCACGCGTAATCATCTCGTTATGCCAGGTGATTTGAGGGTCGATTCAGCCTGATACCTGCATCTTGGGTCAGCAAGTCATTACAACAGCCACTGATTACAAACACGAACTTGAGTTCATAATGAGTGGCATTCAGCAACGTCAGACCCTGCCTTTTAACGTCATTTACATTATGCTAAAACACTGATACATGTAAGGTGCGAGAAAATGGACGCCATTTGCAAATCAGCACCATCGATTCCACCTCACCTCACCTCCACCTCACATGTCATTCGTTACTGCGGTTCAACCTGTTCTCGTTAAACCACGAATCCCAGCAAATATGCCATACTTACGGAGCAAAACGCACACTGGATGCCTGTTCATCATTCACCTGCGCAAACTTGTCAACGTCTTTCATTTTGAGCACCGTCAACCGCGATTAACGACCGATAGACATTTTCGATTGGTGACCTCATTTGAACCCCAGTTGCTTGACCTATGACTGCCGCCACGCTACAGTCTCATAGCACCACCCTGGCTGATGGTGATATTCAATTCAATCCTTTAAAACTGAACTGCTCTACCGCTGGTGGTAGCAGGCAGCTGGGGCATACCGCCTTCCTCCCTCCCTCCCCCCCCCCCCCCTCTTCTTCCCTCCAATAACCAGTGTCATAAAGAGAGAATGGCGGGCAATTGTGGCGTTGGAAGTAACTTCACACGCCGTTCCTTCGAATCCGGTTGCAAAGCGTAGAAAGTAACTACTTACTTTAGCGCCCTGCGATTCTTCTATTTATGGGGAGACCTGAAGTAAGGAGTTTCTTCATCAGGCATCCATCGGGCCTCATAAACGCAACTGCTTTGACCATGGAAAAGACAGTTACTACGAAACTGAAATTAACAAAAAGATGCTCTGGCCCGTCGTAAAATCATCAATGGTGATTACCGAGGAGCCGGCGCTTGGCCATGCGGGAGCGGAGGAACAGGCCATTCAGGCTCAGAATCAACCTGCAGTGAGAAACTGTTGCGCTATGAAGCGATGACAACACGGCAAGGGCGGACAAGTACGCATATGTGAGAAAATCAATGCAACTGAAATTCGCCATGCAACTTTGTGGGCATCACAAAGATACACCACGAGCTGTGGTGGATAAAGCTCGCAGGCCGTTATGAAAACCAACCTCTTTTCCCATGTTGCGGGTTTCACGAATTTGTTTTTCTTCTTTTTTTTTGCTATGACACGGACAGACAAGATACAAGTCAACGAAGTGCACAACATTGGGTGAGGATAAAGTCAGCTTTTTCCGGGCTTTTGTCGTAAGGTGCATATTGCCTTCGCAAGTAGAACACGAAAGCTCAAGAGCACGAACACACGAACTAAACAGCTTTGTTTCCTTCCGCGAGTAGCGGAACAATGTCGAGATTTATAAGATGTGTGCATTTCAGCAAATAAAAATATGATCGTAATTGGTCTATGAATTTATGGCCACTCAAATTGCACATTCATTGCTGGCATTCCTGTATGTATCAGTGGCATCTTAATCTCTCGGGTCTAAAGCGACAGCATCGTTGCCATGGAAACGGCCGGTTGTACCGCTATTGAGCTCATGGCTACAGAAATAATATTGACCTTACTTCAACGTCTGCATTTTACGATTTACTTCGGAGTGGTGATGCCAGGGTTGTGAAACTGGCGTAGGAGGTAGGTAAGTACGCCGAAATATCTTCGGCCTGCCAGAAGTAGAAACTTCTCTTTATGAAACTGGTTACTGGACGCGCGTTAAGTGGAGCAGCTCGGAAGGTTTGACGGCGACATACTTCCGCCACCGTTAGCTATGTTCCCCAGCGGTGTCCGGGAGGCTGCTGGTAGTTTTATACTCGCAATATCAGAGCGCACCCTATCGAATTTAAGCCCGCGTGTGCGCCAGGGGTACGTAGTATTTTGCTTTCGAGCGTGCGAATCAAGACCCTGTCACGCCAGACCTAAGTACTGTCGGAGCGATTTTGCAGCGCACCGTTGCTATAATCGACTTTCAAAACTTCCTGTCAGGTGAGACGACCGACCCAGTCGCAAGCGGCGGCAGCTTATACACTAGCAGTATCCTTCTCGGTTTATCTTGGTATCGCTTCAAATAGCTTCACTGCACTTAAAATAACTTCCACCCAGCACGTAGCCGTCACTCAGCCCGGGGGCCTATCGCAGCGGTGCAAGGTCCTACGAGATTGTCTTGTCTGGGGATGGGGCGGGGATACTTGTTTGCTGGCCTCAGATAACTCCTCCGGTGAACGTATGTGCGCCTGGGAGATATGGAGGCGGCTGGAGGAAGGGAGGTGACGAGCACTCTCGACGAGACTCCATACGCTAGGACGCCGAGCATGTTTGGACGCTGCCGCGGCTGAGCCAAGGTCACCAATTGTTCAGCGCGCGCTGGACCAGTGTTAGTGTGCAAGGACCGGCCGCCTGTCCGTCGTTTCACTATCAACAACAGCAGGGCCTACGCACCAAAGCCGACAAGGCCCAACGGTCCCTTTGCCACCGAGTCACCATTCTCCAGGAGACCGGGTGACGACTTCGCGAAAGATGGGCTGGGAGTCCGTTGCAGCAATGACAAACTGAGAATGAGTGATCGCCTCCTTCATAACACCGAAGCGTAGTATTTTTAAAAACGACTTTGAATTATTGCTTGCACACCCAAAAACAAAACAGTCGCAGGCCCCTGACGCACCCCCATGGTACTAAAGGTACAACAACCCCAACTGCCTCCAGGACAGTCCTGCATAACAGCCATTCACCCTGACAAACAGCCGTTGTCATACATCTCCGGAGCCCCCAGGCCACACTGTCCTCCAAAACGGCGAACCGTCCTCCTCACAGCTCGCCACTACGTCAACTGCATGGAAGTGGTAGACAAACCGATCAAACTCCATCGACCGACTTAAGAGCTCAGGTGAAAGGTAAGCTCTCCTGCACACAGCCCACGTCACCGCCAACGTACGACCTTTAATAAAAGTTGTCATGGCGCGATGCTTTCAAATGGCGCTCGTGTTGCAAGCCATAAGCGTAGGTTGAAAGAACGTCAACGAATACGATACCAAAAAGATATGGTGGCGTTGCATGTGCAAAACGCCACAGCGTTACATACCAAGTGGTTGGCAAGGATCAGACGTCAAAATGACAACATCCACCGCATTTCAAGCGCACCGCGGCCAACAGACTTTATCAATACGTTTTTTACGGATTGCGGATCTTACAATAATTTTACTGTTACGTTGCGGCCCTATTAACGGTCTGTGGATTGTTGTATGTACCGTAGCTCAACGGCCTGTGGGTTGTCGAAGGCACCGCAGTTCATGTTGCGAGGCCTGTGCTGGATACTGATTCGACGAGGGCGGCTTCCATTTACGACATGAGCCCATCTAGTTACCTTCGAAACGCGAAGCCCGCGCCATCACGGCGAAGATTAGGCTGCGGCTCGGACTTTGCACCACCGCCCGATCAAATATTCATATTTTCATCAAGGTTTCGCCATGAAGCTGTAGACAGTGAGGTGCATACAGGACAGGTGCACAAGATCAGCCCGCCGGGACCAGTGCCGAGTGGCTGTGCAGTGAACTGAACAGGTCGCTAGCCGCCCCGATTCCAACACGCGATGATGGCCTACCGCGGACAAGTCAGCCGTGAAGAGCGTAAGTCCCGTCAGGTGGAGTGCTCAGTGCAGACAGTGCTGCGGGCAGTTGCCCTCCCCCCCCCCCCCCCCCCCCCCTCCCCCGGCAGTGAGGCACACAGTGCAGGCAGTGGGGCCGCCGCATGAGGCAAAGGCAAAGGCAAAGCTCACTCGCAGCAGGCTACCTGACGCGGCATGGCGGCGAGCAGCGACGCAACCATTCGGCCAACCACTGTGGGAACGGTCGGCACCAATTAACGGCGGGCGTACACACGCCTGAGTCTGGATTGGAGAAAAGTGAGGGCAGCGTTATAATCACGGCACTGGGTGGAAAAAGACGTCAGAGTGAATCCACAACCTCGTTGTTAAATGGGAACCACATTACGTAATAAGAGAGCTGAAAGCGATAACTTTTCTACAACCTAACAATACTGACCACTGTAGTCACGCCACATAAGTGCCACGTATTCCATGCACTCAGGTGTCGGATGCATACATATGCGTTTACTGCTTGCGTGTCACCTAGACGCATAAAGCAGCCACGTCCCGCAGCGAAGCAAATTATATCATCTAACCCTGGATGTAAAAGACGTCTTTGCGTGGTGCGAACTGCTGTGCACCCACAGCCTCGGCGAATGTGTGACAGGAAAACTGTGCGTATAAAGAGGTTTGTGATGCCAATGAATATGAGAAACCTACATGGTGAGATAGCATCGATATGCATGTCATTTTTAATCGCGCCGCCACGTTGTACAGTCGAGCCAAGTTGTGCCTCCATGCCCGGAAATTCGTTCGTACTGTATAATACATGCCCCAGCAAACCAAGACAGACCCATTTTTGCCTGGCATGTGTTGGAAGCAGCCATAAATGTGTCATCATACGGCAAACGACTATCGTGAGATGAAAACAAAAAGAGCCGCCAGATGGCAGGTCATTACATTATCGTCGCCCAGGTGGCGCTGTTGGGCGGCAGTGGCAATATTTGACGAGTGCGCGGAGCGACGACGAGCGTGCGTAGTAACAGGGAGACACCAACCGACGCATTTCTGGCAAAGATTTACAAAACTCAAAGGGGGAAAGTGCTCATATTGTTCCAGGCATTGGCTGTCCGCCAGAATGATCGCATTTGCAGCAATGCCCGTCCCCGTGGCTCAGTTGGTTAGAGCGCCTGCATTCCGATCCATACACCCATGGCAGGATGGGTTCCAGTCGCTTTAGGGCACTCGCTATTTGCCTTTGGCAGGTATGGCCTGCGGCCGTGGCAGCGGTCGCGCTAAAGGTCAGTTGACGTCAGAGGGCGGAACGGACGTCCCGAGCATTGCGGTACGTTAAGCTTTCGCCCCTAAATTCTGCCGTTGCCTGGAATTGCGCGATCGAATGGTGGGGGTCAGGGCTCACACAACAAGCACTGCTTTGCGTGAGCGCTGATCCCAGAAATCCATCCATTCAAAGGGTTCGGATCAATTTGTTTTTAAATGCTTGCTATTTTGTGGTCAGCCTGCTGCTGAGATCGCAAATTCGGCAATTGTGGTCATTTCGGCTACACATCCACATTTTCGAATGAAAAGTTCCATCCCAAATCCATGATGACGCAGCTTGTTCCCCAATGAATTTCGGCACAATCGGATTCCAGGAACCATGTTCCTTTCAGCAAAACCAAGTCCTTTCTGTTCATATTTGTGGTGAAGCACATCGACGAGCCCAGCCCATGCGCCATTTAAACGTGTGAATAACCATGAATCAATTAAAAAATGTGGCAGTCAATAAGGAAAAGACACCTGAAAGCACAACACTTTGCAGACCTCAAACAACGGCCCAAGCTCAGGCTACACTGAGCACCAGCATGGTGCACTCCACTCACCCAGAGGGTTGGAAGACACAGTCCGAGCTGCTGGTTGCTGATCACATGTTGGATCACCCTCTGAAATGGAGGGTGTTGGGTCTTCATGTGGGCAGTGCTTGTGGATGTGCAGTCATCCCTCCAGAGGGCAGCTTCAGACTGGACAGAGGAAGGTATGGGGCTGGGCCATGCAATACATGCCAGGGCTGAACACAATTAAGTCAGCATAAGTCCATGCCTGGGGCTGAACTGATGACCTTGTAGGTGGATGGAGACACATTGGTATTCTGTGCATGATGCTGAGGATTTGGGAGTCCAAACCAAGAGTGGGATTGGGCTGTCAATACAGGGCCAACATACTCCCAAGGGGCTGTGACTAAAAAAAAATGGATGGAGGTCTTCACATTAGCACAGATTTTGGGGACAGTTTGCTATGGCCCAAGGGTTTTTGGTTGTACTGAGATATGGCTGCAAAGATCTGTGGATCAAAGAAGAGGCAAAGGACACACCTTGAGTACAAACTAGTATGTGCTAAATGCACAAACAACAATAAGCAACACAAGAAAACTTTCCATGATTTTCAAGTGTGTTCATAAGGTGAGTTTAGATTTCAGCTTTATTTTGCTCAAATTTTGACTTATAGCCCATGTATCTGTCCTCATGCCTTCTATGCACCCAAATGCACAGTGCCAAGTACTACAGTGCATTTTCTGATCCTATGTTTTGTTTTCTCTTTGCCTCTTATTCAGCAAGCATGCTACAATGTTTCTGCAGTAATGTCTTCTACCAACACTGGATCCGTATTTCAGCCAGATGCACGAGCACTACAGAACATTATTTCTTATACTGTTATATACAGGGCAGTGGTGTGTCAAACCTTACGGGCACAAATTGCAATTTAGCATTTGTCTGCACTGCTTGAGTTTCAGTAGCAGCATTCATTAGCAACCATTCTGCTGGCTCATAGAATGGTATGGAATGCTATCCTGAGATAACATATGTGCTAATTGGACAGCAGCATCTGAGATGGCACATGTTTGCTGAGTTTATTATTAAGTATTGGCTCTCGCATTTACATGTGCTGGCTACAGCTCTGACCTCAGCAAAGCAAACAATGAATCCAGATGTCTAGCAGGATTCTAACAAACAGGTATTTCACATCCATATTCCATCGCATGCAGTCCCAGCAAAAAAATACATTGCTTCCTTTGTAACTCACTGTCATATGAAAGCAGATCAGGCAGACTTTGAGGCAGCATTACCACCAGATCATACATAACACGCTAAGCGAGAGGATCTTTAGATCAATTGGCGATTCGGATGCTACTTACACATACCTGCGCGTGCCGACTGGCAACAGGCGGTGTCTGAAAGCTGAGACTGCCCAGCTTCTTCCGATGATGTGCAATATGTGAGTACTAACACAAACACATCACCTTGATCCACAGATATCGCAGCCTGAGCTTCTTCTACTTTTTCAGCCTCTACTTTTTCTAGAAGAACCACGGTGCGCGTGGGTGGTACGTAGCTTTCACATTCAATGTGCCTATCCACTGCAATCACACTTACACTTTCAGGGCCTTGACCCCAAAGTCAACAGACGGCGACGCATGTGCCCGTCGCTTATCTCAAATGGTCAAAGCTAATGTTTGGGCGACAGCGAAAACGGCCTGTCTGGGGGAATACCGCACCGAGATATTCTCAGAAAAGCTGCCAATTTGTGGCAGCCACAGCGGCCACGAATGCTTTCCCTCGGGTTTCGAAATCGTGAGCGCGATATCTAGAAGAACCGGGAGCGCATTCACAGTCGTTGCAAGTGTAATTAAAGGATAGCGGTGCTGTTTAACCTCGAAAAAATTGGAGAATTCCTAAGTCCTGAGCGCGCAATCAAGGCCATTAGGGGTACCCGCCCTCTTAAAACGTTGAAATTAGAGATTTATAGTTAAGAAATGCAGCAGTGACCTAAATCTCTGAGGATCCCAGTTGGAAGCGTGGCGCAGACAAGCTACCGGCGCTCCAAAATTCCGGTGTGTTCCTCGGCGTGCCGCGGAACGGCACTAGGGTCGGCGTCCAGCCTACCAGCGTCACCGGTCGGATCTTGACTACCATGCGGGGCCGAGGAAGGATGCGCACGGGCCAGCCTCCCAGAAGGATGGGGTAGGGCAAGTATTAATATACCACCAACACAGCTCGGCGCCAGGCGGCTCCGTAAATCTCGAGAGCATGCGTTGGCGAAAATTGGTCCTGGGGCCGCTGGTCGGTTATTCCCTAAGGGCCAACAGTTCACCGCCCTCTACGATTTTTTGTACGATTTCGAAGATCGAGAGCTTACATTGAAGCACAGTTTTCAGTACGTTTCCACACGAAATTTCTACATACGTTTTCGAGAAAAAAACATTTCGTGCCGACCATAGGCCAGACGCGAATTTGACTTCACCATGATTTCATTTGTTCGCTTTTTTAGATTTTATTCGTTCGTTTTTTAATTCGTTCCATTTGTGTTTAAGGCATTTTGCATTCCTGGCTGGCTTTGCACTCCTTGGTTATGTTCACTTGCCAGTCTGGTAGTTCGTTCGACCGACATCACCTGTCGTGGGTGTAACCATGTTTTAGAGATGAGGTCGAGAAAACCTGAATTGAAGGAGTCGGACTAAAAAGAACACGCGGGTGAGGGTAAAATTGCTGGTAATCTGACCAGAAAGTGGCATTTAAATGGAAAAATATTAAAACCAGGATTTGACGGGAAAATTGATAGGTACAACGGTTGTTTTGGGAAAATTTGGGAGGCATGTTCTCCTTAGCCTCCCTTCCCTCCCTGTCGTAATAGCTGGTGCCACATGAATGTTACCAGATACAGGTGACACTAATGTCACCTATAGCTGGGAATCGCACATGTCGGTGGCATTGTGAGGATAAACAAAAGAACCTCGTTTTGGTTGTTAAGACAACTTCTAAAGATGCCATGCCACTGCCTTTGAACACATGTGCTGTGTTCTCGGTGATCTGCACGCTTTTCAGCGTCACCTGGATTCCCAAGGACTTCAGGCAGTACAGGCATAGGTCGCTGTTATTGCAGTATCCAGAGCGTTATCCAGCAGGGTGGAGAAGAGGTGAGATTATAATCATGATGCCTTATGGAGGGCTCTTAGCAAGCGAAGTGCGATGTTAATGTGTTACACAACGCTGCATTAGCCCCACTGCGAAAGTTCAAATACTGTCCTGACTTTTGTAACTCAACGGATTTCACTTACTTTTATAGGAGCGTTCCAAAACACTGCCTCTAGTACAAGTTACTCTGCTCTCTTCGAAGTCCAGATTCCAGAGATGCCATTTCTGGCAAGACTGACCATCTTAGGAGAGCATGACCCAGTTGCCCTCCTTTTTTCTGGATCCGCCCTTGACTTCGTCTCGTAAAAATACCTAGTGGTAACACCACACGAAACACGGGAATCAGGACGTAGAGTCAAACGACCGGGATTGCAGCGGTATCGAGTGTTACGTATGGATGTAGCGGAAGCTAGCCCACATTCAGCCCAGATTAAGCCCAGCCCAGACATGGCAGCATAAATGTAGGGAATTCCCTTTACGGGCCAATATCTCCCCTAGGATAACGAAATCCTGGACTGGCGAAGCGTCACCTGAAAGCTCTCTTTCGGCCAAAGACAACAGTGCACAGAAAAATCACCTACCTTGTCTAGGGGGAAAGCTATAGACGATCCAAAAAATCATGTCTATGGGGTGGCCCCTGCGATTTTCTTCAAAATTGCGTCATCGAACCATCGACAGATACGTATCAATCCGGCTGAAGAAACCCTATGGGGCATTGATATTCAGGGGGTCAAAAACCCTTAGGAACATATATAACGGGGTTTTGCACTTACTTAACGGTAAACATAGGCCGAGTTGCATGTCAAATGGAAGCACGTGGCATCCCAAATGCAGACGTGCAAACCCAAAACCCCTATCTTGTCTAGGGGAAAAGTTATAAACGATCTAAAAAATCATGTCTATGGGGCGACCCCTGCGATTTTCTTCAAAATTGCGTCATCGAACAATTGCCAGATACGTATCAATCCGGCTGAAGAAATCCTACGGGACATTGATATTCAGGGGGTCAAAAACCTTTAGGAAACATACATAACGGGGTTTTGCGCTTACTTAACGGCAAAGATAGGCATATGTTTGCTTATTATTTATAGAGACATTTCTGCTCACAAATTTCTCTAGAATGCTGGCCGTTTTCGTCGTCGTCAAGATTCGTTTGACCGTTTGAGACACGCTTGCTCTTCATGGCTCCGTGTATAACAGGCACGCAATGCAGAAACAGTCCGGCGATTTGACCGTTGTCATCGGTATGTACTGGGCCAGGCCGCCGTTGCCCGCACTACCTTTGGAAGAAACATAGAATCGAATCATTTCTTAACTAATATCGGTGAAGCTACAAAATCGACACCATACGATGCGGTGTACATTTCTCTATTACAAAACTTTTTGCCTGTTTTCCTCCTAACGTTTCCCGCTCACACCATGTGCCACGTGACATCAGATCATAAAGATCCGCATTCTTGTATCCTCTCCTAATCACGAACGCTTTCAAGCGCTTTCAAGTGGTTTAAATGCTCGCTTTTACTGTTTTTACGATGATACTGCATATGCTCGCCGGAAATGACTACGTGACCACGATTCATCTGGCAGAAGCCGCTTTCTTGACACAAGGTTGATTCCATATTCGGGTTCACTGATGAATAAAGAGCATGAAGCGTGAAGCCAGTTCAGCAGCGATGCAAGTACGCATGTGCAGTACTGGATGCAGCTTACTGTTACCTTTTACAACAATAACAAAAACATCTGCAATGAGTAGGGCTGACAATCTTTGCGCTCCCCATCCTGTCCCACAACCATGCATAGAATCAATTTGAGTCTCACTAAATGGCCCCAACTGGGGAGAATTGGTCACAGCTCGTCTGGACTCAAATGGTCACCAGCATGTGATAACAGCTGGTCTACCAATTACAATCTCGCACACCTTACCTTACTTACCAAAAACAGTCTTTTTCACTTAAAAGTACACCAATAGTTATCAGTAAGCCTGTTTCATCACACCTGATACTTGCTTTAAGATCTTAAAATGTGGAATATTCTCTACAGCAGAGCACAGATCACTGACAGGTCATTGACAGATCCCACGACCCGAATAGTGGCGTGATCTAAACAAAAAAAGACGATTTCCTATAGCTGGACATCAAATTTGACCATTTGTATATGGCACCAGTTGTTAAGCCTTCAGCGAAGGAGGGCGCATTTTCCGCGCAGTCGTGCAGTTGCCGCAGCCGTGCAGTCGTGCGGCCGCCATCATCGAGTGGTGCTGGCTTGGAGAAGTTGGTCGTGCGCGTCACGTTGGTACACCGTAACGGAGGCGCGATGCATAGCTGCCAGCTATGCTTAGTGTGAGATGGGTGCTATGACGCCACACAAGCAGTTCTCCGACAAACGCGCATGGGGCGTGGGACAGCGACTCGGCGGAACATGCGGTGGGATGTTCCACACGACGGGTGATGACAAGCAAAGAGTGGTTACCACCCCGTAGGTGGCCAGAGAACGTCTGTGAGCTGGCCGCTTGACCGGCCGCGATGATCCCTCGAGTGAATGGTGAGGCAAGAGGGTCGACACTCACTGAAAGGGTAACGTCAGACATCTTCCGTTCTTGGAGAGTAATGCTCGAGGCGATTGTGAATGCTAAGGGTTCTACCGAGTCGTGAATGGTCGGCTTTCCTTGTTACCTTCTGGCAATTGGTAAATCACGCCGGTCAACTGTCCTGCCTAAGATAACAGACGGTAAAAACCCACCTGCATGTGGTGATAAAATGAGCGTATTCTTAAGGCGGCCTCGAATACAAAGCGTCTAGCACCCCGTGGGAGACGAGAAATGTATGTGTGCGTGTTACACGCCTACCGCGGTTTTAGATACAGGAGAATAGTAAGACGTTTTCAGTGCAGCAACAAATAAAAGACAAGTTAATGCATGTAATTAGGAAAGTAGCTGTCTTATGGCACAACACGCCGTAAGAGCTATTTAACCGAAACACGCCAAAGAACCGCTCACCGGCGACGATGTTAAAACTTAAGAGTATTTCGTCGCTCAGAGCTTAAAATAGTTTTTGAGCCTCCAAGTGTTTTGCGTCATGTACGATAAAATACTGTCATTAAAATGAATGCTGCTCAAGTGGCGCAGGCAGGATTTTGTTCAGGTGGTGCTAGGAGGCAGCACCCACCCAACCCCATGAGTGACATCACACCTGTCAACGTCCACCATCTTTTCCCCATAACTCACATCCCTAATACCCAAACACTCGAATCTCCCACACGCTAAGAAGCCCCACTCCCCACTTGTGTACCACCTCGGTGAAGCAGTCATTGTGGTGGCGTAGCGCGTGCCAATGTGGATAGGAGGTCCATGGCTCAAGCCTTACCTCTGAAGGCCTTTCCTCGATTGACTTATAACCAGGATATGGCAGCAACTGGGCAGTGGAAGTCCTGCTGCAGGATTAACGCTGCACCAACCGGCGCCGTGGGTTCACGGGCATAGTCTGCCATTAAATAACCCTC